CTTGAAGACTGATCATCTGAAGATTCTTACTGCAGTCTCTCTCTTCTCTATGGAGTAACTTCCCTTCACTTAGGTTTTGAGGAACCCTAGCTATGTTTGTTTGATTGGATGATTGTATGAGTACTCTTACTTGATAATCTTGAGTTCATATTCAATCTATGCATGTTTTCACGATTCAATTCTGCTTTAGTCGAGATTATTGATTCTGCTTTGATCCTATGCGAGCGAATACCTGATTAGGTCAATAGAGCACCATAGATTGATAGTAGTGGATCGATTGCTTTAGTCGAGGGTTGATTCACTGCTTTGTATCGATTGAGAACCTCATTCGATAGAGGGAGTCTAGTTCAGAACGCCTTGATCGATTGTTCTAGAGAAGGATACGTCCCTCTAGGCAATTGACTCAAGAGGGCCTTGTTCCTTTAGTCGAGACTCAAGGTCTAGTCAAGGATTCTCCGCATTGTGAATGAAAGTGAAACAAGTTAGAGATCATCAATCGTTAATCTGGCTAGTGGCTAGGGGGAATCATACCTAAGTGAGTTCCCAACCTGTAATTAGATTAACTTTAACTGTAGTTTGCTAGAGTACTTTTAGTTCTTTCATCTTAATCTGGTTTGCTAGATAATGAACGGAAGCTGAGTAATAGTAACTCTAGAGACCCGTGGATTCGATATTTATTACTTGAGCCACTATACTGCAGTCCCTTTCATTGGTTACACTTGGCCATTGTTAGGAGTTGTGTCATAGCGAGTCAGCAAACAATCTTGCAAACATCGGGTTGCTATTAGATAAAAATACATGTTAGAATCCATTTGATGCATCAACCCATAAAATTCACAAATGATCCACATGACTGATATATTTTTTACATACACGTCCATAAAATCTCAACTCTTTTACAAGCGATGATTAATTGTTCTATTCTCGTTGAGAACAACCATGAAATAATAACTCTTTTAGTTGAAGAATTATTTGACTTCTCATACGATGTGCTCATGAATTCTCAAAGAATTTTTTTCACATCATGATCTGAGGTGGTCTAACCGGACCAACCAAATTACCAATATACATGTAGTACATATTTGTGATGCAAATATTAGTTTCACTATTTTTTTATAAAATATTTATTTTTGTGAATATCCTTTTAATTGTGTAATGCTTCATCACTAGGTAGTTTGGTTCCTTCAGGCCACAAAACATTAGCTCTTTTAGAGATTTACCATATTTTGCCCCATATTTTGCCCTTCCGGGGACTTATGATTTGATGCATTCTTAGTAAACACGTATTCATGGTGAATATCATCACATATTGTTATCACGAGTACATAATTTAGTTACTTCAAGTAACCAAACATAAGCTCTTCAGAAGCTTTTCCTAATTTATGTACTCTACCATATAGTTTATATGGAATTTTTCTAATACTCATACTTAACAAAACATACTAAAAATAATAAATGAGAATATTTCAAACTTAAGACAAAAATGATGAATTTATTAAGTTAATTGTTCTAGATAAAGTTATCAAATTAAATTATGCATGAAAAATAATGTCACAATAAAACATAAAAGAAAATAAGAACCATAATACTATAATTGTGAAAATTAAATAAGCTTTATATGGAACAATATCATCACTAACTAGGTGATTTTAAATTTATATATGCGTTTCATTATACATTTCAATGTACAACCGGTACATTATGTTATCATGACTTTGATAATGCAATTGTTGCATCATCCTTATTTATAATTCTCCTTTTTCTCTTCTTTCTCACTTATGGTGAAAAAATCCAAACAATATATTTAACATATATATAATTATGTTAATAGCTCCATTCACTTTGGGGAATAGATTGTTTCATTCACTTTTGAAAATGAAAATTTCTCAAGTGCAATATCATTTTCATCTTTAATGGAGAATATACCAACTTATAATACAAAAAATATTTTCCATAATATTGATATTGCATGAGCGTATATGAATTTGTTTTTCCCTTTGATCATTCTTGATAGAATGAGGTCTCTTGTGTACAATGGGTACGAGACAAATGTATTTTTCATTACAATGGTAACATACATAACCAATATTCTTGTTACCATGTCCAGTTCTTTATTTGCCCTTTATTTGCCCTTGGGCTCTTGCAAATTGCATTTTCTACATATCAATGGATGATTGATAATAATAGGATAATACGGAGAACTGAGAAATTAACTCATCACTTATATAAATATTAATTTTCTTGTTATTGCTACTACATGAGCAAATTTTAATTTGTGATAATGTCAAAATACAAATTTAATTTTAAGGAATCGATACATGTATTGTAAAACACTAAATAATATAAATCAAATCATACAACCCAAAATTCTAATCCAAATAGATGTACGCGATAAAAAATCAATGGATGGTCTACTACAAGAAAGAGTAGCATCTATATATCTTAATATATTGGAACGAGATAAACTCAACACAAATAAGACAATAAGATATGAAAGAAGATGAAGATTTGCATACCTTGATCATATTGTGATCTTACTCGCATATACTAGATTGTGTAGAGAGACAATGACCAACCATGATTCTAGCAGAGTTTCGGGCTACTAACGTGTTATGAAACTAATGGAAAATATAAACAACTACAAGAGAAGATTAGAGAGTGAAAGACACAAGAGAAAAGAGGAGAAGAGTTCTTTTTAGGGTTAATACCTTATTTTGGCCCGAACTATGACCATATAATCAACTTTGGCACGTGGTTTCAGAAATTAACATATTGGCCTCAACTATGCACCATATAGACTTAATTGGCCCGACTCGTGAATCTCCGTCAAATAAGACGGTCAACATCATTGACCGTTAGTGAATCAGCATGCTACGCTGACGTGGATGCCACGTGGAAAGTAAAAATTTAATAATTTAATTAAATAATAAGATAAAATAAAATCCTCATTCTCTCTCTCCTCACTCGGCCCACACAGCCTTGTCGTTACCCAACCCTTCTTCCCCGACGATCCCTTTCCCAACCCTCTCTCTAACAAAATTTTGTCCACGAAACGGCTCCGCCTTTCCCTGTCCCCGATCAGCCCGCTCATCTACACCGCCTTGTCTCTGTAAATCTTCCCTTTCGTCCGCTCCTCGAACCCGACAGGCAGTTCGATCACGTCTGGGTCGGATTCGCCCCGGCGGGTCCTCAACACCCAGAAGATTAGAAGAACGACAACCGGATTTCTCGATCCCGAGTGCCATCTCGGTGAGTTGGTCATGACTCGATTTTGCTTCGCTCCCGAAAGCCACGTAGACCACGAATCTCTTGCTTGTCGAGCCACTCCTTGATCGAACCCCACGCCCGTCGTTGACTCATCTGCCTCCGCCGCCGGAGGCGGGAGCTGGCCAACGGGGAGAACCGGCTTGTCATAGATGGTCTCGAGAACTTGGAGCCAATGGCGATCGAACTCGAACAGGAACGAACCGTCACGACGTCGCAGTGGCGAGCAGAGAGCCCGATCCGGATCAGATCTTTCAACTGCCACCTCGGAGTTTCTACCAACGCTGCTTCTCTATCCTGCTAGAGAAACGACCTTTCATTTGATATTTTGAAATCGAGGGGATAGAGCTGGGATCGAGATGCTCTCATCAACAAACGGTCGCGATCCTCTCATCAACAAGCTTCAACCTCAAATGCAGTGGAGGAAGAAGATGCTGAAAGACAGTTCGAAATCGAGGGGATAGAGCTGGGATCGAGATGCCCAGGCAGTGGCGTGTGAGTTGCAGAGATTGGGAAAAGATTTTGACCCAGTGGAAAGGGGGGTTTGGGAAAAGATTGGGGAAGATTACGTACTAGTGGGAAGGGGATTGGGGATTGGGTTAGAATGGAATCAGATTGGGGAAGATGCAAGACGGTGGAGGAAGTGAGGAGAGAGAAAGATGTTTTATTTTTATTTTTCATTTAAAATGTAAAAGAGCATATAAAGAATATTTGAATTTAGATTAAATTATTAAAATTTTATTTTCCACATGGCATCCACGTCAGCGTACCATGCTGATTCACTAACGGTCAATAATGTTGACCGTCTAATTTGACGGAAACTCACGAGTCGGGCCAATTAAGTCTATATGGTGCATAGTTGAGGCCAGGATGTTAATTTCTAAAACCACGTGCCAAAGTTGATTATATGGTCATAGTTCGGGCCAAAATAAGGTATTAACCCTATTTTTTATTACAATTCAATTGGGTTGGGTATGAAAAAATGAAATTCATATATATGGTAAATGTGTAGAGTTTGATAGATCTATACCCATTCATTTATTTGGGTGGGTGGAATTTTAATCCGTGAATTTGAGTTTATACGTTTGCCCACATATGCATTACCTAAACAAGTGTTTGTAAAACTTTACCGTAATGACGGTCCGACTGAGAAAGCCTTCTACCGCAGTCTAAACCATTAGGTAGTTTTTAGCGGTATGAAATATAAACAGAAATTACATTTTAGCACCTAAAATTTTTATTTCTTACATTTTGATACATAAAATTTTTAAGTTTTTACATATATGTCCAATTTTGTATGTGTAGTTACAACAATCTACAGTAAAATGAGCATTGATACCCAATCATTTAGAATATAAAAGCAATTTTCATACCCTACCTAAATCCATCTACAAAACTTCATAATTATCTATATTTACTCATACCCTATCCATAATCGATGAGTTTGCTTAAATTTGAATAAAATTACGCACAGGTGGATAATTGTCGTCCATAATTTGTAAAGAGGTCAAATTTCTGATGTAATTAATAGAAAATATTATCATAAAATAAATTGGATGAAAATTGGACATGCCAACTGTTTTACATATATATTCTTCTCAATGGTACAGGAGGGAAAGAATTTTGAAGTGCATGTATGTATATAGTACAAGTATAAAACGAACTAAAATATTAGTGTGTGGTCTTCTACAGCATCATATCGTCTCAGTAGTACTCCATTAGTTCAATGGTTTGTCCTAGGCGTAGTTGCAGAGCCCAAAAGCACAGAACCCCCGCTTCCCGTTGCCACCACTCGCAGCAGAGCACTTGTTGCCGCATCCGCCGCAGTGCGACCTGTCGAAAGACGGGTTGACGCATCTCCCACGGCAGCAGATCTCGCTGTACTTGCACTTCCTCCCACACTTGCCGCAGTTGACTCGATCCCTCATCACGTCCACGCACTTCTTCTTACAACAATGCGGCCCCGGGCTGCCCCTCGCGCTGCATATGGCAGGGAACTTGTCGCACGTCTTACGCCGCCCCGCCAACGACGACGCTGCGGAGGCGGCCTTCTGAGCAAGAAGAAAGCGGCTAGTCACGTCGACATGTTCTTCCACGCCGCCAACTGCTTCTTGTTCGTCGAGTAGGACTGCTTCTGGTGTCAATGGTTGGCCGTGGATGGTTGAGAGAAGAAGGGCCGTTGACACTAGGTTAAGGAGGAGGAAATAACGTTTCAGCATGTTCATGTTTGCCATATATAATGCGTAGCTAGAGAGGGAGTTAGAAGAACTGAATGGAATGGAATGGAATGAGTTGGTTTGAGAGGATAGGGAATTTATAAGGGTTAGCTCGATGGTTTGCTTTCTATTGGGTGGGATGGTCCAAATTCAGGTACTAAGTAATGAAGCCGCAGGGAGAAAAAGGGTTGGGGGAGATTTTATTATTGCGCTATGGCGGCTCTTCATGATCAGCATTCAGCTGGAATTATGCCTTATGGTGATGATGAGTCAATTGTTTCCTAAAATTAGGCAATATTGTTGTGATCTTGGTCAACGCGTTTGAAAAATGGATGGAACAGAAATGACAACTTTGATAAGTCAAATTATGGTCAGCCGCAGTTCGGCAAGAGGTAAACAAAATACGAAGCCGCAGGCGTACGTACGTGGTATATTTATATGCATTTGTAACAGAAAAGTGGAGAAAAAGATTCAGCATGGAAAATACACCTTTACTAGTTGAATGAACCTGTAGAGAGCCGAATCCAGTTGGGATTTTATTCCGGTCAAATTTTGTTCATTTATAAATTGTTCAATTCAGAGTCAGACTTACATCAAGACACTAGACACCCATAAAATTTATAGAAAATTATCATCAACTTCACCATCCTAATTAGCTTTTTTTATTGATTATGTTTATCGTTTTAACATATTGAACGATAGCAGTTTATGTGTTATTCAATATAATTTTTTTTTGTGAAAAATATAAAATTATTGAATAGATATATAAACCTATCAGTGGAGCATCCACAGCTGGTATGTGTGACTTGCTCACAACGGATACGACAGTTGACATGGTCTTTTTCTCAATGTAATATCTTATCAACTTCATCTTCATATTTTTTAATTTGAGTATCAAAGTCAAATAATACTAATTCATTCCAAATCATCTATCTGGGCATATGTTTATTCTCTCTTCCTAATATTGGAAAAACGATTCATCAAAATGATTCACCAAAAGAGTCCCGAATCTCCCATCACATGACTTAGTGTATGGTTGCAATTCACAGAGGTACGTAAGCAGATGATGGATGGATGGATCCTCACCGTGGGAACAGAACAGAGGAGTAGCCAGGAAGGGTAAAAACAATGTAAAGGGTAAAGGGACATATCTACAGGGAGAATCTCTGCTTCGTTGCTTTTTCTTTTCGTAAATGGTGATAACAGAATTCAGAAAGAAAAAAAGGGCAGGCAAGGCAAGGGGATCGAATTTCCCACCTAATGGGTAAAGAACATATATCTCTGTCACTGCTGCATGAAACACGATGCACCAACATTCATTGTAGATATAGTTCAAGGATTACTTTGGCTTACTTTTAACGGAATAGTTCGAATTAAAGATAAGTGATTTCATTAAAGTTGTTTCAGAGTCGGAAGCAAATCTTGAAAGAGTAGAATGAACGAAATGACGAATACATGACGAGATATTTAAAGAAGTGATTGGTTCCCCCTTAAAATTTATCGAGTTGTACCATATAAAATTGATGTAATATTCATACATATATACTAGTTTTTCATGTAAGTTTGTCAATTTATTCACACAAATCGATTCGTATTCTTCCAGATAACTTATTTTTCACACATTCTCAACAATCGTTCAACAAAAAATTTCACAAATTTATTTTAAAATCTAGTCAATCAATTAAATCTCATCAACCATTCCTTATTAGTAATTAGTGCATAATCAACAAAATTTGAAGTTATAAATGCCATCCAATCATTTTAGCTTAAAAAACCATTACCTTGTCCAAAATATACTTTTTCCAACTCAAAACCTCTCAACTTACCCCAAAATAACTTTGTACTATGTTATATGATACTTTGTGCTCTATATCTTTCTTTATATATAACTAGTAAAGAAGCCCGCGCTCTGCGGCGGGGAGACTATATTGTGGGAATGGAGAGTTGTAAGCGAAAAAGCGGAGTCATTGTGCATGTGAATAGTTTGTACGTACATCGCGGATACATAAGTCTGTTGATGTTGAAGTGCAAATATTGCTAAATACTGGGATAATATAGGTAAGACAACGGTCGAGCACAATGACTTTCTGCGCAAGCGTTGACGTTTTCATTAGTTTATTGTTAAAGCTGGCTGCGGTCGAATGCAGAAAGTATAGTAAACTCCAGAGGAGTCTGAGCCAGATATCCAGGTTTAGGGAGTTGCACACAAAACGAAAACCAACATCCATTCATGGCCACAATTGCCGGAGGGAAATGGCCATGGCGGTGGGGATGCTGCAACAATAGTTCGTTTGCTGTAACTCCAAGCAAAGATTCAGCGGTCTTTCCAAGTGCGACGAAGCACGCCGAACCAGTAGTGTCTCCGACAGCCAAATGAATTTTGTAGCTGTAAAAATGTATTAAAATTTCAGGGTTGAATTGGGCGTGCCCACTTGACTGATGGGGAAAAGGTGGATTTTAAACTAACCAATGTTCGGTTTCTTCAGCCTTTAGTTGGCCATGTTCTTCACAAAAAAAATCACCAGTGCCAGGAAATTCCCTAGCTGTCTTAAAGCAAAAGGCACATCCTAAGTAGAACCATGATCTTGAAGCCTCAGTGGAGAGGACTTGCGCCAAACAATAGTACTGGGTAGCCTGTAGGTAAACAAAACTGGTGAGAAAATTTAGCTAAGCAGGCAAGAAATTTGTTAGTTTACTGGGAAAAGGGACTGGAAAAACAGATCCATCTAGTGGTGAGGCAGAATAAATTTTGAAGCATGAAAATAATGGCTGGCTACATTAATAGTGCAGATTATGCTTTAACCTGCCATGAAGTAATAAGACACAGTGCTGTGACAGTAAAAGTTATGACAAAAGAACGCACGTCAACCATTGGATTTCTGGAAAGGCGGATGAGGTCCATAATTGTCTTGGTACTGTCAGCTCGAAACATTTCCTCTTCAAAATAAGTGGAAAAGCATGGAGGATAATATCGGATCGTATCTGTACCACCAGTAGCACTACAATTTCGAAAGTATATGAGATAAACGGAAAGTAAATTACTAAAAGCGGCATCTTGTAAGAGACTTACGTAGCACGCAAAACATTTGCCAATTCAGAAGATGGCTCCAAAACAAACCGTGTAGCGGAGGTGCTGGTTAAAAAAATGCCGCCTTTGGTAAAAGTAGGAAAGGAGATGTGAGTCGTCGTAGAATGGATTAGCAATAGCATTAACTGTGAGGGATAAAGGTGCAGTGTAAACCTGTTGTGGCGTCAGTAACTTGAAGACTGCATACACCAAGTATAACAGAACCCATGCGGCCAAGGTATGCTAGTTCTTCTCCATCTAGTGATCGAGCAACATCGCCACATATGGTGATGTTAACACGTATATTTCTGCAATAGTCAAGTGCAGGCTAGACGGAGATGATTGGAATTACGTTTAATCAACTACAAATGGAAAGGTACACAATCGCATTGCATTGAAAACCTTTCGTTTTGTATGACCAGTTTCCGCCTAATAATAGCACCAGTGGATGTTGCCGAACAGGATAACCCGCTCACAGAAACAACTCTGCCAACAACATCTACATTTGAAGAGGTGTTACAAGAGCGTCAATTCATTAGTGCAAAAAACCAAGTGAAGTATATGTGATGAGATTACAGTAATTGCCAGGTGAACCTATGAGCTGGTTTGTTGAGCGAGGTAAGCCGTGCAAGGAACTGAAGTGAAAAAACTCAAATGAATCAGCACAGAAACCCGGTGACAACATGGTTACATCCTCAAATATGGTTCCCTGAGAAAGGACCAAACTAAATCTATGGGAGCAAGGGCGGCACAGTGGCTGTGGTTTTGCCAGCTGGAATCCAGTAACTAAGTAGACACACCCTAGTTGCAGGTGTGGGCCAAATCGGTGACCTAAATGTGGTGTCGCGATGGCCTGGATTAAGGTTCCCTGTTAAACAGGGAGGAGGCGAAGCAAGAGAAATGACCGAAGAGCACAATTTGCACGGGCAATTGCAACAAAAAAACGTTAAAGGAAATGCTATATTACCTTGGAATCGGTCCAAAGACTGCAAAACTGTGAGAGAATGGATGGCTTTTCTGAATTGCAATAACCCCAAACATGCAAGAGTCGTATCTTGAGAGCAGCTTCTGGCCCTTCAGTTCCATTCAAATCCAGAAGCAGCTTTTGCGGAAGCATGTCTCTTTTGTGAGGGAATTGGGGACGAAGATCGAACCGGATGACACCAGAAGGAAGGTTGAACAGGAACAGTATGCTGATTTAGGATTCTAGTGAGGAAATAGCGGAAGAAGAGTAAAGTTGATGAGAGAGGATGAAAGGTGAGATAAGAGCAGGGATCTTCCTAAACGTTGAATAAAACAACAAAACACATAAACTTTCTCTCGAACTGTTCAGTGTTTCTGCGGCCCAAAATGATTCAAAATACAATAAACAATGGTCGTAGAAGAAAAGACTAAAAGACAAGTGGTGTGAAGGGAATCTATTACTTTTCAACTGAGGCAACAGTAGAGCAAATGGGGGAAACATACTAACACTGGAGGCTAGAAGGGAATGACCGATTTTAGTCGAATTAGAGGAGGTTACATTAGGAACACAGTACACTGTAGATAGCGAATAAGGGGTGGTTAATGATATCTGTAATGATCTTGAGATCTAATATAATAGAACAGTAACGACACAAGAGTGAAGACAGAACACTCAAACACATGTAAAACAAAGGAACTGCAGAAAGGGCATAACTAAGACGAATAAAATACGAACGTGCATTGCCAAGTACATTGTTTAGATCTGAACTATTTGGATGGTTGAGCTTAAAGGGTAGCTACCATACACAACGTACCAGAACAGTTTATGTTCAGAATGGAAATAAAGATGGACTATTCCAATTCTCAAAAGATCGAATTAACTAATAATGTTGCAATCCATGTCTTCTGGGCCTGCCTTACTTTGATCCTTCCTCAGCCAACAACCCAATTCGTTCCTTAGTCCTAAGAGCTGCAATAAGAACAGACATGTGGGTATTTATTAGTGCGCAAAAAATGGTTGTGCCCACGAACACTAATGTTCCACTGAATGCAAAACAAAAGTAGGAAGGAATGTACCTTCTTTGACTGCAATGTAAGGACTTCGGTCAGATGCGCAATTTAAGTTCTCGCAATGGCTGAAATGCTTTTGAATCCCAAATCGCAAACATGCGGATGTGTGGTTCATCTGAATCTTCTGATCCCACGATGTACAGTTCTGCCATTAGCTGAACATTGCAGAATGTTTTGAGCAACTCAACTCTCTCGTCATATGGCATCATTTGGAACTCGAGCGGTGGCATACGGATTAGAGCAAGAGAAGGTTGATGATTCAGAACTATTGTTGCGGTGTGATTTCCTGATTCGCATTCAGCCTGCAATTCGTAGTACAATCTAAACGTATACGTAGATTAGAGATGTGGTAGCAATGAATTGTTACTTAACAATAAGGAAAAGAAAAGTAGTCGTAATTTGGAAATACTCAGTGTCTTCAGGAAAAGTTTTGCAGGTCTCAGAACCAAGATGGAACTTAAGTATCTTCAATTTGCATCGATAGAGTATCTGTCACACGGATTGAATTAGGAAAAATGTCAAATCCAGTTTTTGTGAGTAACTAAAACATTTATTTTGTTGGAAGGCCACCTGAGGATGCTTGATAATTTTCATATATACTTGCTTAACAATCTACAGTTGCACAAAGAAGGTAAGGAAAGTCACCTCAGTTTCCATTTCTCCTAATGGAACTTTGGTCTTCAATTCCAGCAGTGAAATTCTGGGAGGAATCTTGCGCCGAAGGTATCCAAGGCGCTCCTTCGAGCTGTAGTCAATGATGTCCACTGGCAATCTGTTATGAAAGAACCTAGTAGGTTTGTTGTGTTCAATTAGCTAACTGGTAGAAGAAGATGCATATAATGAAAAGAAAGATGCAAATAGTACAGCATACCTGTTCATTAAAAGATGTGTCGTTTCATTGTATGGTTGCACAATGAGACGGGTCCCAGGAGATGTCACGAAACAAAACGGCGGAATATGGGTGAATTCGTGGACATTTCGGGTGAGGCCTGTTGCTGTAATGATCAGAGGATAATGCACCTCGCTTCCATCAGCACTATGAATGAATTGTTTAATCCGCGTTCCGATGTAGCTCACAAGTCCTTTATTGCCACTATGAAGTTGGAAGACAACTAATGAGTGTTAATACAGACCAATTTCCATTCAAACGTATAAAACATAAACTGATTTCGAAGCATACCTCATGTCTTCAAGATAGATTTGGAACATAAATGTATCAGAATTGACCCTAAGTGGTTCTGTTATGTGCGTCACGCATCCTGTGATTTCTGAAGCATGAATCTGGTTGAGTTATTTGGTTGCATGTGGTCTGTAAATATTATATTTAGGGAAAAAAAATATTCTGTGCATCAATTTAAGATGCAGGATGCTGTGTTCAGTTGGTTAAGCACGAAGAAGAAATACCTGAGTAACAGAGTGGGAGACTTGCAGGAGAAACACTGTAATCACAAAGGACTTGATGGGCACAGTCATCTGGAAAAGTCATGGTGCTGCGATATTCATGGATTCCTTCGAACGCACCTCTATTTGTGAAAGACAATCTCAAAGTGGAAGGTGCAATTCGACGTTCAGATTTAGCCGGTATCACAGTTGGGTTTATCATGGTGTAGAGACAACCAAGGTTCATGTCTGAACACATGTCAGGAGAGTTTCCACATCGCACAACAGCTTCCATAAGCTGTCCCTATAGCAGTTACAATGTTGGAAACATGTGTTCACTAAACATTCTATGTTTAAAGTATAAGCAGGAAGTAGTTTTGTTTTTTATAGACGTACCTCTTTGTCTAGCCAAAGCATTTGTATAGAGGTAGCAGATGTAGTTTCACAGGGGTCACATTCTGTCCAGATGTTCAGTAGGCGTGCCATGAGGAAAATGTTGTTGGTTCCCAGATGGAGTTCACGGAAGGTTGTGGATTGCTGCATGACATCTAAAACAAAGCGAAACTGCATGACAACACATAAAAGCATACGGAGATAAGGCTATTGTTCAGTAATGGGAAAATACCATGTGGGTCCGGTGGTAACATTTCGCTCTCTGTGTTTGCCAAAAAACAGAACTCAGTGGGCAGGAATGTTTTGGGTGCAGGACGAACTTGCTTTCTATAGCTGCGGGAAGAAATATGATCACCAGAATAAATGTGAAAGCTATCAGAAATAACAGTAAAAATGCACAGGTTATTGCACCAACAAAGAACCATGTGTTGCTCGCTATTTGGAGACCTGTCGACATTTAGCGGCAAAACAACAAATAGTCTAGTTTAGAAGGACATTCGATTAATGCATATGTCCCTTTCCAAGTCGATTATTCAAAACCTCACCCACACACTTTTAGAGTCCCCCGTTAAATCCAAAGATAGGTCAGTAGAACTTTTGCCGCCAAAGGGTACAGAAGAACGGCTAGCAAAAACCGAAACACAGGGAATGAAAGACCATTAAA